CGCCGCCGCCCCTCACAGCCCCGCCGCCGCCATCTTCCCGCTGCGGCCCGGACGCGAACGACAACGACAACGACGTCGGCGCAAGAGCGGCACCGCCCGCAAAGCACCCTGGGACGCCGGCGGCTGAGCGGCGTGACGCCCCGCCCCTATTTTACATAGCCCGCGGGGGGCGGGCTGGCCACGCCAATCCCGTCACACCCCGCGCGAGGGAAAAATGCCTCCGATTCCGAAAAACATTAGAATCACGGATGAAAAAGGACGCTAACCCCATGAAGACTGCGCACTCCTTATTAAGCACTAGATCTGCATTTAAATGGGATAAGATTTAAAAACAGCAAAATTCTCCGTAACATGAATATTTTCCACTATCCTGAGCTTTAAATCTGCTCGGAGTAGCAGTACGGTTTGTGCTCGCTTCGGCAGCACATATACTAAAATTGGAACGATACAGAGAAGATTAGCATGGCCCCTGCGCAAGGATGACACGCAAATTCGTGAAGCGTTCCATATTTTGCTCCCTTGGGCTCATATTTTGCCCTCGTTTGATGAACTGTGCACATTTTGGTGCCCAGGCCCGGCTCCCAAATCCCCACCCCGGCTCTTCCTCCTTTCCTGCCACCTTGGGGCTGCCAGGGGCTCCCCGCCAGGCCTTGCCCCCGCAGCCCTAGTGTAGACGGAGCTCTGGCACCCGCCAGCTTTTTTGTTTCGTTGCCCTGACCCAGCCAAGCTCTGCCCGCACCAAGGGCAGACAGCGCCGTGTTTGCTCTGAGCCAGCCAGGGAGACGGTGCCTGGGCTGGGCCCTGATTTATTTTGGCCTGGCCCCTATATTTGCTCAGCCTCATCAGCTTGGGTGCGCTGCACCCCGTCCGGGGGTCGCAGACCCATGGCTGCCTGGCCCTGCGGGTGCCCAGCTCATGCCAGGATGGGTTGCAGGCATCCCTGGCCCGGGAGCGGCTGGAGCATGGGTCCGGTCTGTTGACAGCGGCTATTTGCGTTGCTACCAAGCGCCCGGGAAGCCTCTGGCAGTGCCACTAAGGTGGAGCAAGGCAGGAGACAGCAGGGGGGTTGGCACAGGGCTTCCTGGCACCTGCAAAAAAGAAGTAGGGGAGGAAGGGAGCCCCACGCATCAACATGCATGTGAGCATGCCTCCCACCCAGGCATCTGGACACGGGGGCTGCAGCAAGGGGCACTGGATTCCTGCCCACTTGCTGCCAACACATGGGGCCCAGGCAGCTGAGATTCCCCCAGGATATTCTGGGGTCCCACCCAGTCCCTCCCAGCTTGCAATCTGCCCCCTTGGCCAGGCCGCTGGCAGGCTGCGCCCCCCCCTTGCTCCCACCTCTACCCACCGGGTCTGATGCACTTCGGGGCATGTACAGCACCGAGCACAAAGGGCCCCAGTACCTGGGCATGGCCATAGCCTCCCCGGCGCACACCACGAGGGAGCAGGGGGCAGAGGGGTAGCATCACTGACGGGGGAGCAGGGGCTGGGGGGTATATGGAGGGGCCAGCACCCCAGGGGGGCAGGGAGCCAGGCCCTGAGTCCACCTTAAGAGCGGGCAGGCGGGCCCCACCCCGTGGCAGGCACGCAGGGCCATTGTTGGAGCTGGCGAAGCCGCTTGCTCCTCTGGTTTCCTCGGCTGTGCTGTGGTTACCCCCCAGGTCCAGGCGGAGCAGGCTGGACATGGGACAGGGCCATGCACGGGGGCACGGTGGGAACCTGGGGCCCGCCTGGGTCCAGCCCCTCCAGGCTCCCTGTAGCCTAGCCCCCTTGCCCACGCGGCTGCCCCGCCAGCACCTTCCAGGCAGATCCCGGGAGCCAGCCGCAGCCGACAAGCATGGGCTTGCAGCCCCCGAAGCCAAGGAGCCGGCCGCGGCACCTGCCCCCCATCGTCTGGGCAGACCTGATCTTCCGCCTCCCCCTGCCGCAGCCCCCCGGGGAAGGTAGGGCTCAGCCGTAACCCTGCCCCTGGCCCGGCACAGCCTGATGGCTTCCCAGGGGCTTTCCAGCCACGGAGCCCTTTGCTGGAGGCTGAAATGCGGCCACCTCTGGGGTGGGACGGGGCGGCCGTTCAGTATGGAGGAGTAAAGAGCAGCGCAGGCAAGTGAAGGAGTGGGGCGGGGGTGGGTGGCACAAGGCGCTGCCTGGGCAGAGCGGGGGGACACGGACAGGGCTTGGATTCGGAGCAGAGGGGCAGGTCCTACCTTCAGCTCTCAACGCTCAGTCCAGCCTGGCCTGGGTGTTGCAGGGGCCTGGCCAGAGCCGGTCCGTGCTCAGGGCCCTCTCTCATTCCAGATGCCCCCACGGCAATGACGTGGTGCCCAGTGGGGAGCCCGGGGCAGGATCTGGCTGGCTCCCGGTGGAGGCCCAGGGCCGGCCGGCGGAGGGAGAGGAGGAAGAAGGCTGCCATTGCCAAGGCCTCCACACCGAAAGAGGAGATGGCCTCTTCTCCGCTCAGCTGCTGCCCCTCGCAGCCACCTGCCGCTGCCCCCCGGACCAAGAAGATCCTGGTTGACCTTCGCCCCATCCTGGACAGCATCGTGGAGAGCCCCGAGCCGAGGCGTGTGCCCAGCCACGGGGCACAGGGAGCCGATGGGCATGGGGGCAGCAATGGGCAGACCCCCAGCCCAGCCCCCAGAGCGGATCAGGCTGGCAGGGGCACCCCGCTGCCCCCCATAGCACCACGGCCCCGGGAATGCCAGCAAGAAGCAGTAACCTCCGGGCAGCCCGAGAGCTGGGCAGGGGGGCTGGGAGGCACCTCGCTGGTGCCGGGGCGGGAGCCGGGGCCCCCCATTTCTTTGCCGCTGCTGGTTGCGGCGGCTGAGGCATCAGCCCCCGAGCAGTGCAGCGCCGCGGACACGGTGGGTGCCCCCCTCGGGTCCCAGCCCAGCAGATCCCAAGGGACCTGGTGCGACACGGCCCCTGCTCCACCGCAGGAGGGCAGGGAAAACTTGGGTCCAGCAGGAGACCCCCACCCCTACGCCCCCACAGTCCCTGCCTGGGACGGGCCAGCCCGGGGCCCCGCTGGCGGCTGCGGGGAGGGCGACGCTGTTCCTCTGCCCCAGGCTGATGTGCTGGATGCCCTGTGGCCCCCACGCTCCCCGGACGTCCAGCTCCCCACGCGCCTGCTTCTGTGGCGGCTGCAGGAGACCACGTCCAGCGGGCACCACCGGCTCATCGCCCAGACCCTGAGGGCTCTGCGCACAGAGCTGCAGGATGACGCCGCCGGCCTGGGCAGCGAGTGAGTGTCCCCGGGGGAGCAGAGCATGGGCAGGGATGAGCCGAGGCTCTCCCCAGGCTGGCACGACCCACCTTGGCGGGGCAGGGCAGTGGAGCAGCAGGGCACAGGGCTCAGGCAAGGCAGAGACTCGCTAGAGCACTAGGAGGAGGGGAAACTGAGGCAGGAGCCCTTAGCCCCTCCCTGGCTGCAGGCCCCTGGGAGTCTGTAGCACCAAGAGGGCCCATGACCCGTCCGAGCTCATTCAGCAAGTCCAGGAATAGGAGGCAGGAGGCGTAGCTGTAACCACTAGACCACGCTGCCCCCTGCCATGTGCATGCCCAGAGGACCAGATCTGGGAGCTGAGCAGGAGCAAGGGGGAGTGGGGGGTGCTCAGGAGCTGGTACCATCACCTGCCCTGGGCCTGACGGGATGCTGGAGACCCCCCAACCTGTCTGGTTTCAGGCCGGAGGGATGGCGCCTGCCCCATGACCTGGCCAGGAGCCGGCAGGGAGACGCCAGGAGGCCCCGGGGACTGCTCCCAGCTGCCCAGCACAGGAGCCTGGTCGCCCGCACCTGGGCCGTGGTCGGGTGAGTCTTCCCGGCAGCACCTGGAGCCCCATCGCAACCTTGGGGGCCGCCTGTCTGGGGGTCCCCTTCACTCCCCCCCTCTTCTGCAGCCCCAGTGCCACCTGCCCCAGGACCCATCGCTGACCGGCACCGAGGCAGCTCTGGCTCCCCAGCCCACGTCCTTCCCAGCTATAAAATGGGGAACAGCAGCATCTCCTGGTCCTCCCGAGGGGCTGGGGTGAGGTGGGACCCCACGTCGATGGACTGGGGAAAGGGACGGAGTCCGCCGGAGCGACCCCAACGCCCCTAATAAAACTTCCCGGACAGGCTCCGAGTTATCATGTGCATCTTTAATTAAATTAGCATGTCCAAGCGGTCTCTGCTTTACCCGTGCCAGAGACCAGGGAGCTGCAAGCAGAACTGGCCCCGGTGCCCCCAGGGGAGCATGGCCAGGCTCCAGCGCGCGGTCAGCCCTTAGGAGGGGGCTGGGGTGGCTGGGCCTGCGGGGTTTGGGGCATGGGAAAGTCAAGGGCTCTGCAAAGCC